CCCTCATTACTCTCTCTTGCTCTCTTCTCTCACTTCCAGATCTTTCCTCTTTTCAACTGTCTCTTTCCTACTTTCATGTCTTTTCAGGAGAGGTGAGGTTTCTACCATTCCAACTTATCCTATCACCATGTGCCTTGGACAGTACCTGGTCTTTAAACAAAAGTTAATTATACTGTATGTGTGAGTGTGTGAGTGTTCGTGTGTCTTCATGTGTATGTGTGACTGTGAGTGTGTATTCATGTGTGAGTATGTGTATGTATGTGTGAATATGTGTGAGAGTGTGTGTATGTGTGTGAATGTGTGTATGTGTTTATGTGTGAATGTATGTATGTGAGTGTGTGTGCACGAATATGTGTATGTGTGATTGTGTGTATGTGTGATTGTGTGTATGTGTAAATGTGTGTATGTGTGAATGTGTGTATGTGTGAATGTGTGTATGTGTGTTTATGTGTATGTGTGAATGTGTGTTTATGTGTATGTGTGAATGTGTATATATGTGAATGTGTGTTTATGTGTATGTGCGTAAGTGTGACTGTGTGTATGTGTGCCCTTGCAATTGCCACAGTACACTTGTGGAGATGGGAGGACAATTTGTGGGAGTTGGTTCTCTCCTACCCATGTGAGTTTTGAGAACTGAACTTAAATTGTTGGACTTGGGGGCAATCCTATACTTAAAGACTTGTTACCTATTTCATATCTGTTTTTCCACAAGACTCTACCTGCTGAGGTCTTTTAAATGACCTCACATTTGCCATTGGGGGATTCTAGGAGTTCCCTCATGTGATTGCCAAGGATCACTATTTGCCAGGCCTGGTGGTGTAGACCCATAATCCAAGCTACTCCAGATACTGAGGCAGAATGCTTGCCAAGTTTAAAGCCTGCCTGGGCTGCAGTTCAAGCTCAGTTTAGGCAACTGAAGGAGACTCTGTCTCAAAATAAAGAGAAAAGAGGAATCAGGCAGGCTGTAACTCAGTGGCAGAACGCTTGCCAAGTGTTCACAAAGTTATGTATCCTCAGTGTCACGCACACACAATTCATCTCTTCAGTCTAATGCTGCTAGATGCCTAGTGAATGTTATACCATGAGCTGGCTGGCTGGAAGGCTGGAAAACACTGTGGAGTGATAGGGTCTCTGAAGGATTAATTTTCAGGAGGAGGCTCATTTGGGTAGTTTGGAGGGATCCTAGAGGGAAGTGAGTTAGGGTGCTGGCTTCATTATTGTCCTCTGTGTGAGTGGCATTGTTGGTCAAGTCCCTCAGATGCCAGAGTGAGCCCCAGAGGAGACTGAGCTCAGCTGGTGTAGTCTCTAGTCACCTAAGGAAGCACGGTCTGTGACTGCCCCACACCCTCAGGAGCCTGAGAGAGCTCAAGTGCAAAATAAAGGCATTGGGTCCTGTGACCTTGAAGCTTCCTGTGCATCTCATGTTCAATGACATTACAAGTATGGGGAAGCTCCATGGAAGAGGATTTGATGCCAGGCTCGATATGACCTTTGTCCTTCTTCAACACAAAGGGAGAAAGGGGTGGTGGATCTCAGTGCCCGAGGAACCCCAAGGATGTATTTAAGCAAGACCCACTGAGGTGGCAGGTAGGAACGCATCAAGCCTCCCTCCCCCTTTAAAAAAATTAATAATTCTTTTAAAACCATCTAAAAGTTCTGCAAATGTATCACATCTGCTCCTCCCACCCCTCACCAACTCCTCCCATGTCACCCTCCAAATTTATGATCTCTTTTTAAAGTAATAGTATAATAATAATAATAATAGTAAAAATAATAGACATAGGGTCTCACTACATAGCCCTGACTGTTCTGGAACTCACTCTGTAGACCAGGCTGGCCTCTAACTCACAGAGATCTGCCTGTCTCTGCCTCCTGAGTGCTGGGATTAAAGGTAGGCACCACCATGCCTGGCCCCTTTAATTACTATTGTTACTGAGTCCATTTAGCTCTGCTCATATGTACATATCTAATCCACTTGGGATTAGATAAACTATATGGGAGCTCATTCTTGGTGGAGAATGAGTCTCCCCTTCTTAGCAGATATTGACAACCTGGAGCTCTTCATCTTGAGGTGGGACCATGTAGAAGTTTTTCCTGTTCATGCTGGCAGGTGGACTGATAATGTCATTATGCTGGTCTTGTTCAGGCAACTGTATTGTTGAGAGCTCAGAGTTGTAGCTTCCCTAACATATATTGATGATAGTATGTCACAACACATGTCCTGGTTCCCTGGCTGTTACAATGTTTCTGTCCCCTCTTTCATGACTTTCTTTGAGTCTTAGGGGTTATGTTGCAGATGTATCTGTTGGAGTTGGTTACAGTCACTTATTCTCTGCATTTTGACTACATGTGTACCCCTGTGAAGAAGCTACTTTGATGAAGGATGGGTATAAGGATAAGTTAGCAATTACATTGGTTTAGGAACTGGTAGTAGTATGTTCTCCTCTGGTTAGGTTTACAGTACCAGGAACACATTTCCTCCTGTTGAGTGGACCTTATTCCAACTAGACAGCTGTTGGTCACCTCTAAGATAAAAATGTCACTATTGCACAATTGTGGGAATCCTTTGCATGGTCCAGAGGCTTTACAGTGGGTAGGGCTGTTAATTGTTCTTCTCCTTTGGTAGCATGCTTAGCATCTTCTGTCACTAGGAGAGCCAGTCCTCAGGGAGGAGGATTCCAGGAAGTTCCAGGTTGATTCCTCCAAGCTCTGTGTCCTAAGTGTGTGGTATCTTCATCAATAAGGTCTTACCTTATTTATTACCTTCTTTGCGGCAACAAAGGGCAATGCAACATTTTTTTTGAAAGTCTCTTAGATCACTCCTGACCAAAAACCCAAAGGGATGTCCCTGTGCCTGGCACTGTTTTCTCCTAGGTAGGCTATGGCTCTTGGGAAGTGCCACAACTTCATTTAAATTCTTTACATATGGCTTCTGCAGTTACACACATCTAACATTCAGAGCTAGGATCCACAAATAAGAGAGAAAATGTGGTGTTTGTTTTACTGGGTCTGGGTTACCTCATTTAGTAGAAAATATCCTAGCTCCATCTGTTTACTTGGAAAGTTCGTGATTTCAGTTTTCTTTACAGCTGAGGAATATTCTGGTGTGCACATGTGTCAACCCTCTCAGCATTTGTTCTCTTGGTCTTTGAGATTTCATGTATTTTTCACATCTTATTAATTTATGTGTGTGTGTGTGTCTGTGTGTGTGTGTGTGTGTGTGTGTGTGTGTGCACGTGCGTGCGCGTGCGCGAGCGTAAGCACGAGCACAGCATGCATATGGGTAGTCAGAGGACAACTTGTGAGAACTGATACTTCCTTGCTGTCATATGGGTCCCACTAGTTGAATTCAGGCCATAGGCTTGGTGGCAAACACCTCTGTCAGCTGAGCTATCTAATCAGCCTCTCAAAGTAGTTTTATTTTGCATTTCCCTAATTGCTGAGTGTGTTGAGCACTTTGAGATATTTATTAACTGCTTTATCTCTTCTTTTGAGAACCCTCTGTTCAGAACCATAGCCCATTTTGTTTTCTTAGTTCTGTATTTTAGTTCTTTATTTTATATACGCTGGGAATCAATCCTTGATTTGATGCACGGCTAGCAAAGCTGTCTCCTCTCTGTGGATATTCTCTTTGCTCAGTTGAGTCTTTCCTTTACTGCCCAGAAGCTTTTCCATTTTATGAGTTCAAATTTGTCAATGTTGGCCTTAATTCCTGAATGGATGAGGTCTTTGGTCTACTTGGAATTGATTTTTAAGGAGGGTGATAGATGCAGGTCTTACTTCACTCTTCTACACATGGGCAAAGCTTTCTTTCATAGTGTCTCTGACAGTGGTGGGAATATTTTGGATCTGAGTTCTCAGTGGCAGCCAAGTAGATTCCAACTATTCCAGACTCCAGGCAGCTCCATGTGCCCCCCCCCCCAGGGTACAAGCAGTTTTCTCTGGGGTCTTTGTTCTGCTCTTCCCTGGCTTCCCTGGCTCCTCATGCCTTGAACTTTTTTTTTTTTTTTTTTTTTTTTTTTTTACTACCCCTGTCTCCTGCCTCCTGCAAGACTTCTTCATGTCCCTTGAGGTGCTGCAAATGGCTCGGAGAAGGAGGAAGGGGCTTATAACCTCTTGGAGGGAGCAGAAGCATGCTTGTACACAGTTGTCTGGCTAGGGTGGAGTCCTGTGGGGTTGTATTAATAGTCAAGAATGACTTCCTCATAGCATCTCTCCAGTATTTGGTGGGTTGAATTTCTGTTTGTTCTTGTTTGGAGTTGCATCCTCAAAGACCCCAAATATCCCACCCTCAGAATTTACCAGGTGCTAGGAGAGGAAGTGAACAGGACCACTGTTGTTCCACTAAACAAAACCCTAGGAATTCAAATGAGAGGCTTGGCAGTTCCCAGGGGGCAGCTGACCATCTACAGGGTGCTTTCCTCCTGGGGACCCCAGGTGGAGCTTGGACCACAATATTAGGCAAAGATTAGGTGCTCCTCTACTCACTGGAGCAGGGATGGAATCCATCCTTGGAGAATCCCAGGCTCCTGTTTCTTTTCCCAGTCTCCCAGCTGTGGTTTTCTAGATGGTCACTTCATTTTGTAGTGGGTGCCTCTCATTTGTCTACTGGAAGGGCTTGCCCCAGCTGGAGGGGCCTGGGGTAGCATGTTGGGAGGAGTCGGGCCACAGGACTGGCTGCTGTTCCACAGATTCTAGTTAAAGATGCCTGCTCGGTGTGGGGCAGGTTCTGTCTCACATGTCATGGATGATTGCTGGGTTGGGCTAAAGGAGGGACTGGGTGCCCTGCTTTTCTGTGCCATTTCTACATCGTGGCGTGTCTCTGCTGCACCACCTCTGCGAGCCTCTGGGTTGCCCAGGGCCTGTGCTGCCTTTGTGAGGTTATACCGTCTTTGGGAGCTGCATTCTCCCGTGGCCTGCACCTCCATGGCGTGTGGTAGCTCCATGACTCCCTGCACATGTGCTCTCTTTTCTCTCCTCCAGAAACCCTTCCTTGAATACCCCCAGTGATGTCAGCCGTTGCCCTGAACCATGGCTCATGTCTCTAGATGCTTCCTTGTCTTTGGCTTTTAGGGCAGGGCCTGGTCTCCTGCCTTAGGCTCTGCACGTGCCATGCACCTATCCCCCAGGTGTGTCAGAGCAGATCAGCCGCAGCAAGTGGCAGACACAGTCAGACTGAGAACATCTTGCTCTCCAAGGCCCAGCCCAGGGACGGGAGTGGATAAAAGTCTCGTGCCAGGGCCCCAGGGCAGAAGCACACACACTGTGACCATCTCCAGTCTGTCTGAAGCTGCGGGCCTGTTTGTCTCTGCCATGTCTCTCTCCCCTTGCCGGGCCCAGAGGGGCTTCAGTGCTCGCTCAGCATGTTCTGCTTTTTCAGGGGCTCGAGGCAGGGCTGGCTTTGGCAGCAGGAGCGTTAGCTCCTCTAGAAGATGCAGAGCAAGCTCTTGTGGGAGGGCCTGGGGGGCAGAGGCCAGGCAAGGGGCACGGTTTGGGCAGGGGAGTGGAGGGCCTGGTCTTTCCCAGTGCCCTCCAGGGGGCATCCAAGCGGTGACCGTCAACCAGAGTCTGCTGACCCCACTGAAGATTGAGGTTGACCCCCAGTTCCAGGTGGTGAAGACACAGGAGACTCAAGAGATCAGAACCCTCAACAACCAGTTTGCCTCCTTCATTGACAAGGTGAGGGTGAACGCAGTCCCTGCTTCTGGTCCTCTCACAGACAACTGCTCTAGACAAGATGAGCTAGTATGAGGAGAACTGACCTCTTTCTGCCACTTCCCGCATCACTTTAGTGGCAAGAAAATCCTCCTAGAGTCTAACTAGCGGCTTTCTGGTTTGCTGATACCTCGCTATTCCATGGCTGGGGCTCAGGGACCGAGAACAGCTGGACAGCGATGAGAAGTCTCATCTCTATTGTCCCAACCAACAGGTTCTTATGGGAGGACTTGAGGTTCCTCTGCACGGGCAGGGATGGAAGGCAAGAGTAAGGGGCCCACAAAAGGGTCTTTGAGGCCTCCCTCTCCAGAGGCTGTGTCAGGAAAGTTCCAGGAGTCTCAGGACCCTGTGTCTGCTTATAGGTGCGCTTCCTGGAGCAGCAGAACAAGGTGCTGGAGACCAAGTGGGAGCTGCTGCAGCAGCTGCAGGGGAACCACAGCCCTCAGGGCCTGGAGCCCATCTTTGAAGCCTGCCTGGCTCGGCTCAGGCAACAGCTGGAGGAGCTTCAGAGAGAGCGAGGGGCTCTGGATTCTGAGCTGAAGACCTACCAGGACCAGGAGGATGAGTACAAGTCTAAGTAGGGAACACAAGCTTCTGTGCGGTGTGTAGTGGGTAGAGTATAGTGCTCTGCCCACCTGAGGGGCTCCTCCATGCCCAGCACCCTGGCTGCATCCCTGGCCTCCATCCTGCCCCTTGGCTTCCCCTTCCCTCATTCACAAGGGTCAGCTGTAATATATAGAGGAGACCCTCCAGCCCTACCCAGGCTTGGAGATACCTGGGAGAAATGTGGAGGTCTCTTTCTAGAGGGCTGAGGCCTAGCTTCAAGGGTCCATGTGAATGGTCAGGACTGGGAAGGGCTGATTTAAACAACACCTTGACAGCTTTCTCGAGAAATTCCTGTTTAGCAGGCTATGGGGCTAACGTGACTCAGATGTCCTCTAGTCTTGGGTGGAGGGCTGTCAGTAGTGCACCCGTCCTCAGGCCCATGTTGTAATTCACAGCTGGCCTGTGGTTCTCAGCTCTCTATGTAGGCAGCGTGGTGGTGCAAACAGCCCTGGGCTGAGGGGTGATGAGGGCTGGAGAGTGAGGGTAAGCCCCCTACTTCCCCCAGTCTTGGTTTCTACTGTTATAGTGTTGGAAAAGGTCATTTCTGTTTGTGGTCTCCAGGGCCACTGGGAAAGGAACAGGGCAGATGGGGTAGGGAGAGAGGTACCCAAGGTTTCAGGTCTGTTGTATAGAGTCCTGTTCCCTCCCATGAAACACATGTTGATTGATCCGAGGCATCTGAGTGCTTGGAAAACCATCAAGACATTCAGCCTACTGTTGTGTGGGATATAGGCCGCTTCAGGGGTATAGAAGAGTATGACGAAAGCCCTGAAAGGGAATGGGAAAAGGGCCAATGGTGGCTTCTGACTTGGGGCCTCTGGAGAGACAAAGGCACTCAGGGAGGGCATGGGTGTGCAGAGTGCAGGGTGGGCTGTAGGCAGGGAGGGCATGGGTGTGCAGAGTGCAGGGTGGGCTGTAGGCAGGGAGGGCATGGGTGTGCAGAGTGCAGGGTGGGCTGTAGGCAGGGAGGGCATGGGTGTGCAGAGTGCAGGGTGGGCTGTAGGCAGGGAGGGCATGGGTGTGCAGAGTGCAGGGGTGGGCTGTCGCTCTAACCTGGTGCTTGACTGTCATTTTCTACTTGCAGGTTTGACCAGGAAGCTCACAAGCATGCCTTGGTGCAGAATGACTTTGTGGTCCTTAAGAAGGTGGGAGGGGCTCAAATGCTCCACTCAGAAAGACCTCACCATGCTCTAAATTTGGTCCCAGGCTGGGAGGTCATAGTGTGGAGATGTTGTCACTACATGCATTCACTCCCTGCCAGAATGGAATATTTACCTAGCGTAGGCATCCAAAGACAGATCTGAATGAGGTGCTGTTTGGCAGGCTCTGGGCTTGCTGCACAGTGACAAGAGGTTGGGAGGCAGGGGAGGAAGTGCAGACAGCACAGTGGGTGGGCTTAACCGGGAACAGTGTTCCACAGATAGTGCAGAGCTGGGTGGAGTTGGGGAGGAGAAAGGGGTCTCCAGACACAGTGGCTTGGGGCTCATGAGAGGAAGTGGGAGATGCATGGTTTCTGTTTCCCTGTCCTCAGGATGTAGATGCGGTATTCCAGAGCAAGTTGGATTTGGAAGGCAAGCTGGAGTCTCTGAGGGAATATGTCTGCTTCTTGACACGTCTGTATGAAGAAGTAAGGACTCATGAAGGGCACGGAGAAATGACAGAAGGGACAGGATGGCCAGGCTCCCTGTGGCCATGAGGAGCATCACTAGGAGGGGAAGCCTATTAGGATGGCTTTGGTTTGTGGTCATTTGTCATTTGACAATCAGCTAGCTACTAAGCATTTGTGTGGGAATTTGTTAATGAATAACCAGGCAAAACCCTCACGGCTGCTTCTGCTAGGAGGCGGGCAGAGTACCAGTCTTAGTAACTGTAAATTCCATCCTCTGTCAGACAGTGATAGGTGCCACAGAGAGCAGGGGAGCGGGTTGGGAATGTGAGTAGGTAGCAATTGCAAATAAGCCTGATGCAAAAGGTAAAATCAGCCTGGAAAATGTGAAGGTGGGAAGAAGCTCTTCAGGCAGATTGTTTCTGGGACTCTGGGCAGAGGTTGTGTCCTTAGCCAGAGAAAGTGTGAGGGGAGCAGTGTGGCTGGGCTGGAGGATTGTGTGGAGGAAGGTGTGATAAGGAGTGAGAGGGTTGACAGGGACAGGTAATTTTGGGTCTCCTGGGTCTTTTTCCTTTACTATCCACACTGCAACCATTACTGGAGACCACCTCAGTAGTCCTTACTCTGCAAATCTGGACCATCACTGGGTGATGGGCAAGTGGATGGACATTCAGACATCCTTCTTTCATTGTGGGGACAGGGGACAGGGAGCCAGGGTGGTAGATGCTGAGTTGGTATTTCCCATAGGAATTGGGACAACTGCAGACCCAGGCAGATGACATGTCTGTGGTGCTGTCCATGGATAACAACCGTTGCTTGGACTTCAGTGACATCATCGCTGAGGTCCGATCCCGCTATGAGGAGATCACACGGACTAGCAAAGCTGAGGCAGAGGCTGTGTTCCAGACCAAGGTGCTGAGGATGGCTGGGTGGTTACATTCCCACCCCATGGAGGTCACAAACTTTGGTCCTATTGGGGTAGCTCTGACGACATCTTTGAGGTTCAAGACTCAGAGGATAGGGCTGGGTCCACAGATCAGGAGGGGGACAATGGCAATGAAGTAGGAGATAGGCTTGGACCACTGCAGGCATGTCTACCATGAGCTCTGCAGTACATTTGGCCTGCACTGGGAAAAATGCAGTCATTAGGAGGCATCTCCCAGAGTGGGAAGATGGCAGATCCCTGACTCCGGGTTCAGAGATAGCTGCTGACTCAACCAGTGGTATTACGTTTGTGTCCTCAGTACCAGGAACTTCAGGCATCAGCTCAGCTTCAAGGGGACAACATGAAGGAAACCCGGATGCAGATTTCCCAGCTTCGGCAGGCCATACAGAAGTTGCAGAGTCAGATTTCCAGCCTCATGAAGCAGGTAGCTGTGTGCACTGCTGCACCCACTGCTCTTGGCGCCTCCATCCTCCACAGCACCGCTTCCTTCCCAGATGGGATCACAGGAGGATGAATGGGGGATCTGGATAATGGTCTGGGACCTGGGTCATTTATTTTGTGGCCGGGAGGTTGGAGACAGATCTTCAAGTCACCTCTGAATTGATTTGGCTGGTTCCCTGTGAACTCCAGCCTTCGTGTTGGCTTTTCTAGGGCAGAACACTTGCAATGTACAGTGCTAGAGAGACTGTTACAGTCTCCATTCAGGTGGATGTCTTATTTCTGCCTCCTTGGAGAGAGGGTTAGTTTACCTCTTGGTTCATCTCTCTCTCTCTCTCTCTCTCTCTCTCTCTCTCTCTCTCTCTCTCTCTCTCTTCTCTCTCTCTCTCTCCTCTTTCTCCCAAGACAGGGTTTCTCTGTAGCTTTGGAGCCTGTCCTGGAACTAGCTCTGTAGTCCAGGCTGGCTTCGAACTCACAGAGATCCACCTGTGTCTGCCTTCTGAGTGCTGGGATTAAAGGCATGCACCACCAATCTCTTCTTTTGACTTTTCCTCCACAAGCAAAGGGAACTTAAGGTCAAACACTGACTTTTCTGGTTTTCCTTTGGGAAAAGTATGTGAGAGAGGGGAGAGCCCACGAAAGGGAGATCTCACATGAGGTTAAGGAGGTCTGAGGTGCTCTGTTGTCCCAGATGGGAAGGGTGCTGACTTACTAGTTATCAAGTTTGTGCTCATGTTTCTCAAAGCCGAAGACTGGATTTGAGACCCATAGTAGGTGATGAGCATAAAGTACATATATCAGGAGAGTATATATGTGGGTGCATGTGCTGGCTCTGTGGGTGGAGCTATCTGAACTCCCATCCTCACAATTGCACAGCAAATGCTCCTAACCTAACTCATCTCTACAGCCTCCCCTCCTAAATCTGCTTTTTATTTAAAGTTAATTTTACTTGTATGCATATTTTGCCTGCAATAATGTCTGTGTATCATGTGTGTGCTGGTACCCATGGAGCCTAGGAGAGGGTGTCGAATCTCCCGTAGTTACAGATAGTGTAAGCCACCATGTGGGTGCTGGGAATTGAACCCAGGTCCTCTGGAAGAGCAGTCAGAGATCTTAACCACTGAGTTGTCTCTTCACTCCCTGACTCCCTGTTTCTTATTTTATTCAACTATTTATTCTTATTTTATGCGATTTGGTGTTTTGCTTGCATGTGTATCTGTACACCTGCATTTCAAATCAACAAACCAGGACCAGCCCCGAGGAGCCATAGCCTCTTACCCACTGCATGTACTTTTCCTGGGAGAGCCTATTCATTTTTATTTTTATTTTTTTGTCTGTTACTTTTTTTGCACAGGGCCAAGAGGCTGGTCTTTTCATGCTGACTCAGAGTGCTGGGTCCCTGCTCAGGCACCCATCACCTTTCTGGGACATGGAGAGGAGATCTTGTTCCTGGTCTGGGGTATTTGTGCGGGTACAGAGTAGTGATAGCCTCTGGAGGATTTTTTCCTTTCTGTATCTGACATGATGCTGAGTTGCCCACACCCACCTCTGCTTCTCTCCTCACACCAAGCTTGGCAGTGTCCAGTGACTGGATTTAGGACTCAAACTAAGTACCATATGCTCTCATGAGATACTTAACTGAGTATGCCAGCCAAGACCCTGCTTCCAAAAAGATCATGTTCTGAGGTTCTGGGTAAACATGAAGATGTTGAAGGAGCTCTAGTTAACCCCCTGCCGCAGGCAAAGAAGCTGTTAGGCAATATTTCCCCTTAGGATGAGAGGGGCTGGTCATGGTGTGGTCATGCACAATTTTGAGCTCATGAGATTAGAGTCTATCTAGGTCTCCAAATTATACCCATGGTGGTTGTTTTGAGACCTTGTCAGTCTTACAGCTACTTTCGACCTCATTCCTACTCCCCTCCAGAATGGTACTCTGCAGTCTGCCATTGCCGATGCTGAGCAGCACGGGGAGATGGCTGTGAGGGATGCTCAGGCCAAGTTGGATGAGCTGGAGGGTGCTCTGAGAACAGCCAAGCAAGACATGGCCCAAATGTTGCGCGAATACCAGGAACTAATGGGCACGAAGTTGTCCCTGGATGTGGAGATTGCCATGTATCGAAGGCTGCTGGAGAGCGAGGAATGCAGGTGGGGGATCCAGAGGGACCTGGGGAAGTGACACTGGGTTGGGGGAGAATGGAAAGCCAGTGTAGGCCTTTCTTTGCTAGAAGGGATTCTGAGAGATTTTCTGGCCCTGTAAGTCACTAAGGGCAACCAACCCTGCTGGGAAGGATTTTAAATTGGGGATTGTATTCCTTACAGTCTTTCTTAGTGTTATCCCTCTTGTCGTTCCTCTCCCAGGATGTCTAAGGAGTACATCAGCCAGGTCACTGTCTGTGAGTATGAGGGGTCTTTGAGAGTAGGGTTACCTTGTGGTGTTGAGGGCCTTGCTGTGACCCTAGTGCTTTCTTGGCAGCCACGGCAGAAGGCAGTGTTGTTGTCCCTGGAGGAGTTTGTAGAGGCCAAGTGATCATACCTGGAAGAATTGGAGGAGGCCAAATGATTGTGCCTGGAAGAATTGATGGAGGTCAAGTGGTCATACCTGGAAGAATTGATGGAGGCCAAATGGTTAAGCCTGGAGGAGACTGTAGAGGCCAAATTGTCATTCCTAGAGGAGATTGTGGAGGTCACATGGTCATTCCTGGAAGAGTTGATGGAGGCCAAATGATTGTGCCTGGAAGAGTTGATGGAGGCCAACTGGTCATTCCTGGAAGAGTTGATGGAGGCCAAATGGTCATTCCTGGAAGAGTTGATGGAGGCCAAATGGTCATTCCTGGAAGAGTTGATGGAGGCCAAATGGTCATTCCTGGAAGAGTTGATGGAGGCCAAATGGTCAAACCTGAAGGAGACTGTAGAGGCCAGATGGTCATACCTGGAAGAGTTGATGGAGGCCAGATGGTCATTCCTGGAAGAGTTGATGGAGGCCAAATGGTCATTCCTGGAAGAGTTGATGGAGGCCAAATGGTCATTCCTGGAAGAGTTGATGGAGGCCAAATGGTCATTCCTGGAAGAGTTGATGGAGGCCAAATGGTCAAACCTGAAGGAGACTGTAGAGGCCAGATGGTCATACCTGGAAGAGTTGATGGAGGTCAAATGGTCATTCCTGGAAGAGTTGATGGAGGCCAAATGGCCAAACCTGAAGGAGACTGTAGAGGCCACAAGGTCATACCTGGAAGAGTTGATGGAGGGCAAGTGATCATTCCTGGAAGAGTTGATAAAGACCAAGTGGTCATGCCTGGAGAAGACTGTAGAGGGCAAATGGTTATACCTGGAAGAGTTGATGGAGGCCAACAGGTCATACCTGGAGGAACTGGTGGAGGCCATGTGATCATGCCTGGAGAGGACTGTAGAGGCCAAATGGTCATGCCTGGAGGAGTTGATGGAGGCCAAATGATCATGCCTAGAGGAGATTGTGGAGGCCAAATGGTCATGTCTGGAGGAGATTGTGGAGGCCAAATGGTCATGCCTGGAAGAGATTGTGGAGGCCAAATGATCATGCCTAGAGGAGATTGTGGAGGCCAAATGGTCATGTCTGGAGGAGATTGTGGAGGCCAAATGGTCATGCCTGGAAGAGATTGTGGAGGCCAAATGGTCATGCCTGGAAGAGATTGTGGAGACCAAATGGTCATGCCTGGAGGAGATTGTAGAGGCCAAGTGGTCATGCCTGGAGGAGATTGTAGAGGCCAAATGGTTATGCCTGGAGGAGATTGTGGAGGCCAAATGGTCATACCTGGAGGAGATTGTAGAGGTCAAATGTTTTTGCCTGGAGGAGTTGGTGATGGTCAATTGGGCACTTGTGGACTCAGAGGCTGGAAAGGCAGCTTTGGATCTAGAGGCTGCTCTAGCATCGTAACTGGTGGCTTTGATGTTCCCCTGGAATCTGGATGCAGTCCCAGCATGGGTTCCTGCTCCGTGTCTGGCTCTGGCTTCAGTTCTGGCTCTGGATCCTGCTGTCGCACCATCCTGAAGAAGACAGTGGAAGCAAGTCGGAAGACCTCTGTCATTTACTGAGTGACCAGGCAATCATACCCATTCTAAATCCAGCAATCCTGCTCCCACTCCACCCCCCATGTTCAATGTCCACAGCCCAAGGCATCCCATTGGGCACTGGAGAAAGTCAATAAAGTCTGTCTACTTGCTGTTCCAAGTGCTCAGCTGGCAGGCCTTGCTCTGCATACTCATTTGCATTTCATTTGTGTGTGTGTGTGTGTGTGTGTGTGTGTGACATGGTGCATAGGCTCTGTCCTTCAGCCAGCAGCTGTTTTCACTCCCTTCTCCATGGTCTTCAGGCTGAACTGGAAGTTCTTTTGGCTAGGCTTTGGCAAGATTCCATCTCTAGTTCAAATATCCTTCAATGGGAGGGAATGTCTAGAGGTCACTAACTGGAAGTTGGAGTCTGGAACCAGGGAGTACAACTTGGTTCCTTCCCCTACCTCTTTCTGCATCTGTTTCTCCAGCTGTTCTGTGCAGTGCTACAGCATCCAGTTCCCTTATCATCTTCTCCTCCTCACAATCTGTGTTCAGAGCCAAGCCACCTTTGTGCTGTGTGCTAGCACTGAGGCTCTTCTGACACGCACCAGGTCCTGTCCACTTTTGCCTCCTCCAGCAAGTCCCTCCCACCTATGAGCTTGAGCTTCCTTCCAAGCCAAGGTCTGGCCTCTTGCCACTAGTTCAGATCCCCTGTGTTGGGAATGTGGGTTTGTGGAAAGCTGCTTTTTGTCCTGTCCCTCTTTCCAGTCCGCAGCTCAGTGTTATCCAGTGTTACCAGTTTCTGGTACTCTCCCATCACCACGGCAGGGCCTTGACTTGGCCTTGGCACTCCTGAGTAGGAGCATCGCAGCAGGTACACAATTCAGCCTAGATGCTCAGCAACAGCCTTGAAATGAGTTTCAAGGGCATTTACAGGAGAGGCTAAAGGGTGGAGGCAAGGGTAGCTTTTATGCCATTCCTTTACCAGCAATTCAACTCTGCCTCCAGCTCTCACCCCTTATCAAAAACAAAACAAAATGTAATCAGTGCATTTCTTCAGCCCACTCTCCTTGGGAAGAAATCTGATGACTTTCTAGTGTCACGTGTGTCCTGTGGCGTCTCCCTGGATATCACAGCCATCTAATCAAGAAAGTACTTTACATCCCTGGTGTGCCCCTGATGTGCCTATCAAACATGCTGCTCATCTCCCACACTCCCCCATCAAGGCTGTCTGCTTGGACTTGTTCTGGTCCTGACCTCTGCTGGTTCTTCCTAAGTCTGCATCAGTTTTCTCCTCCTGGAAACCTTTCGCATTGCCCCACACCTGAGCTTCTGGACCCTTCCTGGGCCCTGTACATTCTGGTTGTTTGGTTGTTGTCCCGGACTATATGTTTAGTACTGGTAGGGGAGAACCTGTGTCTCTAGTAGCCTGGACCTCTGGGTTGTTTCTTCCTCCTGAATTCAGGAAAGGGATCCCATGGGGACTTGAAATAATGGCTCTAGCCCTAGCTGGTCTCTGGACCTGTCTGAACTTGAGTCTAGAAATGTTTTTCTTCTCTTCCAGGGCATTCTGAGGGAAGCCAGGCTCATGGGAGTCAGGAGTTTCCGGGAGGATTGACTTCTCCCCGACTCTTGGTACTGTGTGGGTCTCTTTAATGTTTCTTCCCTGCTCCCTTTTCTGTCCTGGAGCCTAGAGAGAGTCAGCCTGGCTATGCTGCCAGCTCTGTGGCCTGGGCTGAGGGATGTCTTGAAGTTCTGCTGCTGTGCCAGAGAAAGGGTGGCAATGGGTTCTTTATCACTTATCTAGGAAGACACTGTGCCAACCTGTGTGCAGGAGGCATGGAGGGTGCTTTGGTCCAAGCTCTACTGTTCCTAGTGATGTGATTTTGACTCAGTGGGGGTATTCTCTCCATGTTTAAGTGTCCTCATTCATAAGAGGACTCAGTGTTAAGGAGGTTGAGGAAAGAGGATTGCCATGAGTTCAAGGACAGCTTAGGCTACATGAATGAGTTCCAGACAGCCTAGGTTACACGAGTGAGACCCCACTTCAGCACAAACAGATGGACAAATAAAACACAACAACGACAACCATCACCACAACCCCAGACAGGGCAATTCAACTGAGTCCACAGAATCCAACCAAACAAGCTGGCTTGGGAATGTCCTTGACTGCCAGGGTCTTCATTGTGCTTCTGGTGGGGGACGTCTTCTATTTCTTTAATTAAGTAGTTAAATTTGGGCTTACAGGGGCTCACTCTTCAGGATGGCCTGTAACTATGTAAACCAGGATGTCCTCCAACTCATGATCACCTTGCCTTAGCCTTCCAGTATCGACTGTGCTTACAGATATGAACTATCTCATCAACCAAATAGGGAACCTTAGTCTACATTACTATCATTATTTATTGTGTGCAGGTGTTAGGTCAGGTGATATCTTTTGGGAGCTGATTTTCTCCTTCCCAGGTGTGGGGGATGGGAATCAAAAGTGCTTTTGCCCACTGAGCCATCACCCTGATCCCAAATGAGGAACTTCTTAAAGGCCTTGTCCCTGGAGCACAGGTCCAGTCCATGCAGTGAATTGTACACAGATGTTACCTCTTTTCACAACCCTGATTCCTGTAATTCGTTTGCCACTCTGGAAGTGAGGATCTGAGAGAGCCGAACTGACTTATAGGAAGGATTACTTCCCGAGGAAAGAGAACCCAGGCCAGGGACCTACAATAGCAAGGAGCAGGGAAGAAGCCACCACCCCTCCAGTAAGCCAGCTAACTTTTTCAGGTTACCTGGGACCAAGGTGACTTTCAGTGTTAATCTATGACAGGCCAAAGAAGAGCTGGCATCAACTACCCTGTGTAGAAATGAAGAGACATGAGACATAGCACAAGTGAGTAGTTTCTGGAACAGTGGGGAGGGATCCCTGGGAGAAGTGTGACCCAATATGGTGGGAGCTAGAAAGAATACACATTTCTCTCCATTTTGATCTCTTCTTAGGTTAACCTGGTTGGAAGAAGGGAATAAGGGAGCAGTGTCCAGGTGTGTAGAAGGTGGGCGTGGCCCTGAGGTAGGACAGAGACCTGGGAGCATAGCCAGGGTTGGGTAAAGGGCTGCTATCACTGCATGGAAGGTTCTCAGGCCACACTGGGTCACACTAAGTACCTGCTGATGATAATATTCATTCTTACTAGACTGGAAAGCCCTCCTTCTCTTGGGAGGTGCCTTGCTGTGTGCCTTCCATGTTGTTCACATCCAAGCTGTTTTATATTAGGAATGTCATTTGCCATTATCAGCTATTCTGACCCATGCTTTTGGTGGCATTCAAACCCCCATGCTCTTGTCTCCTGCTAGCTGGTGAGGACTCAGGCAGATGAGAGTCTCCAGAGTTGGAGGCCCTTAGGAGCTAGCAGTAGAGCGGCTGTAGGCTATAGCTCGCCCCTCCTTTGGAAACCCCTCCTCCCTGGACTTCCTCCATAATATTTGTGGGAGGCCACAAATTTGGATCAAGTTCAGTTACTTTCTGCCAATGGATAGAACCTTGGTAGGAGGCTCACCAGCCAGTTAATTAATGCACTACAGCCATTAAATTGCCTTTCCCAGTGCTGCTGTGTGATCCTGGGTGCTTGGTTCATGAATCTTTTTATTCTTCTCTTTGGTTTACATTTAGTCATATAAGCCCTACCAGTTTTAAAGGTATGTATGGGGTTTCCTCTGTGTAACAGCTCTGGCTGTTCTGGAACTCTGTAGACCAGGGTGGCCTTGAACTCACAGAGATCAGCCTGCCTCTGCTTCCCGAGTGCTGGGATTAAAGGCTGGGATTTCCTCTTAAAAGACTGAAAAATCCAGGTGTGGTGGCAAATGCTTTTCACTTTATTGTTTAAGAGGTAGGAAAAAGGAAGATTAGGAGTTTAAGGTCATTCTTGGCTACACACAGAGTTTGAGAATAGCTTGGGCTACATAAATCAGGGTGTGTGTGTGTGTGTGTTCTCTGCAAAAGACTTCCAAAGAAGGTTTCAGTGTGATGTCTAAAAACAGCAGCAGAGCTACAGAGCTGGGAGTAAGGGCTGAAGAGGCAAAGCAACCTCACATGACCCTGCAGGGCCCGTGGTGATCTGTCTGTCTGGGAAGGTGAGGTTGTGAGCAACAACTTTGTCTCCCAAGAATGGGCCTGGGCTGCATAGGCATCTGCCACCAGCTCATTAACTCCCAGTGCAAAGCCTGGCACAGAGAGTGTGCTTGGTAAATACATAAATGAATTGCATGCCTGAATGCTCCTCTTCGGGGTGGGGTACCTTCATGTTTAAAGACCCACTCCCACTCCCACTCCCACCACTCCAGCCACACAGTGACTCACAGCACTGACTGACATCATCTTCCTGCCTCGGGGACCACAACAGCAGCCTGGAGGCTAGGTCCCACTCACAGCTATCTCCACTCCCACGCTGCCAGACAGAGATAAGGGAGCCTGAGAAAGGGCTGTCAGCATGGTGAAAGCAGACGAAGGGTGTTGGTGGGAGATGATGGCTCTGTCCAAGCTCTTGTTTATCCAAAGGACTTCTATGGTGGGCTATGCTTCCAGAGAGGCTGAGAGCCAAGCTTTTCCAGATGCCTGCTGTCATCAGGGAGGCCAGCTTTTTGGGTGGCATTGAGGGGCTAGTTTTGTGGCTCTTCACCCTTGGTAGGAGCTGTGTTCGGAGCTTCAAGGAAACGAAGAGCTGCTTGAACTTCCTAGTGGCCCAGATGAAAGATCCTGCACCCTCCTTTGGTGCCTAGAGGCTAATGTCCTCACAGAGGTCCTGCGCTTCTCTGTCAGGGTTCAAGCTGGCTGAGCATTCCAGCGCTAGCCTGTCAGAGTAAGAGGCAGATGAAGAGGCGAGGAGGGCTGGTTTCAAGACCTTCTCCCATGGTCTGGGATTCCGTGTCTGAAGCCTCTCTAGCTCTCTCACGCTGTGCTTGGTTCTAGAAACCTGACTGGAAAGAGTGGGAGATGATGTAAAGTGACATTGTCCTTCTGAACTGAGCATGCTGACTCCTGGTGGATACGGAAGGAGGATGATGGGGGTACAGTGTGAACCATTTGGGGCTTCTTGGATGTGTTTACCTTCAGCTATTCCCAAATGGCTGGTCTCTGCTGGAAGGTTCCACCAAGGAAAAGCTTAGGGGTGGTCAGAGCTCCCTGCCTGCTTCCAGTTTCAGAAAAGACAGCCGAGGTCC